CTTCTATGCCTGCTGGTTCACACCAGCAACAAGTATGATAGCAACAATTGCTTCATCGACTCAATCTCGGTGCGTGCAAGGAATCCTAGAAGAACTATCTGAGTATAAGATAAGCACCCAGACCCCTCCACACATGCATTCAGCCATTCAACATAAAGAAAGCACCTTACGACTTGGAACAGGGTTTTGTGGTGTATTATGGTATAAGTATGAAAGGGAACCCTAAGCTTAATCTTCGAAATTGCCCAGGCTTTTGTGTTACCAAGCGAGGCTGCTCTTACTTTGGGATCCCATGATCCTATTCTGTTTGGGACCACTGCTCCTGCTCCGATTTAGGCGACGCATTACTTTCACAGCGGAGCATCTGTCCAAGACAAGGAAGCTCTCATCCACGGGTATGTTCTACATTCGGGCTTCGGGTTCTCTTTAGAGTGCCTGCCAGTTTACAACAACAAAGATCGGAAAAGTGGATCGGAGCCCAAAACTATCCATGCTTACACGGTTCTTAGATCCTTCAAATAGTCTTGGTGCCCAAGCCTGTCTCGTGATCTGGATCTTCCGAGTCAGGACCTCCTTAGCAGCGAAGATCATCCAGCATCGCTTTGGCACCTCGAGACAACTCAGGGGTTACGTAAACGAGCATAGGACCCAGCAAGTAGAGAAACATACATCTTCTCAACCCTCTAAGCCCTAAACCTAAACACAATAACAGTCCTAGTCACTATAAACCCTAAACCCTCAACCCTTGTGTCCTAAGATCCGTGGAGCAGGCTTGGGTTTCGGGGTTTCGGAGTTTATTGTTGAGGGCTTCGGGATGGCCTTGGGGGCTGAATTAAGGATGGAGGGTGCCATGGGGTTTGTGGTCGGTGGACATAGTTTAGCTTAGGAATAAGGAAACCTACACCCCAAACCCTAAACAGTAAAGGGGTTCGGGATTTTGCGGCCCAGCGGTTTAGGGTGGTTTAGCAACTGTCGGGTTTAGGTGCTTAGGCTTATACCTCTCAGGAACCCATGGCGGAACTGAACATTCGCAGCATTCCGAAAATGCGCGGCCTGAACAACTGGAATAGGGCTTGGCGGTTACTTGGGAAGTAACCTCGTAATGTGACCTTATCCGAGGTGATCCGCATTCGCCCCTGATGTTGGAACCCTTCCTGAGGCTAAGTTCAGCCTGGGCTCAACCCACACAGCCCAAAACCCGTTGATTAAGGAATAAACCTCACATCAGCACCAGAGTAAGCCGGGCATAGTCGTTACTTAACCTTCCATCCGAATCCCGGTCGGGAGCCTCTTCCTTCGTTGTCTCTGAAATCCCGATATCCTCGGGATCCAGCTCGCCTCCACAACCATAGAGACCATCTTCTTCTTCCAGTGCCTCTAACGGTTTAGGGTTTGGAGATTTGGGGCATAGAGTGTCTGGGCTTCAAGCTGCCAATCAGAAGACCTACGATTCTGGAACTCTACAGGCAGGCCTTCCCGAAAAGCGAACATCCTTCAAAAGGGATGCCAAACGATCTCAAATCGGTCGTGGAGTTCAGTGGTTCAGGGCTTAGCGCATATCACTTAGCGGCAAGATTTAAGGTCCTGCTACCGGCAGGTACCAATAATCAATTCGCAACACCCTCAAGCCAGAGGGCTTTAAACCTCAGGCTTAAAGCCATATTGAAAATAAATTAAGACAAATGAAGACAAACCTGGACAAACAAAGATCAGTCAAGACACCAGTTGGACGAACACGATAAAGACACAACTTGCACAGCATGTGCCAAGTCAAAACAAAAAATAATACAATTTCAACTATGAAAAAGACTTTAAGCTAGTTTGATCAGGGTGTCAAACAACTTTGAAAGGCTTAAACACTTATTGAGCACAACAGCTGCAACAGATCAGACCCTTCATGTTTGAAATTGCTCTAGACAAATTCGGGGCCTAAAGCCTCAACCCTAACATAGGCACTAATTAGTAAATTAGTAATAATTAGTTCCGTTCTCCTCCCGAGCCCCAAACTCCCTGTGAACCCCTCAGCCTTGACCAGCTCCCAAATCAGCTTGGCAGTGACGGCCAAGGCCTTCCCTGCAAGCACCCACGGTGAACTAAAGGGCATAGAGTTTAGGGTTTAGGGCTTAGGAAGCTGAGAGTCTACGGGCCAAAACAAAGAAGTCGATGTGAAGAAAAGTCTTCTCGGGCGGGGAATTCTCTTCAGTACAGCGTCGCTAAGGCTTTCGACTTCGAGAGGTCTCAGGCCCTCCTAGGGCTCTGCTTTTTGGAAAGTTTATGGACTCCGATAACGCTGGGGCCTTCATCATCAAAATAGGGTTTCGGGCCTTTATAGTGTAATTATGTTAAATGACCGGAAGGAATAATATTCGTAATTACTTGGGCTTCAATTCTATATTACCGGAAGAATATCTGGGTCCCAAAGCCTGCGTCCAGCGCGGCGATCACCAGCACCACTCTGATACTCTTGGCAGCAGACATGAGGCTCGCGGAGGTCAAGAGGCTCAAAAAGAAAGCCGCAAGCTTCACCTCGTTGGTCACGTACCTTCAAGGCAAGGTTCGACAACAAATGTAGCTACCTAGATTATTTTGGATAGAGGACCCATAAACCCTAGTGTATTTATTCAGGCCCCTACCTTAAGAGGATTTATATGGGTTTAGGCTGTAGGTTATAGCACAAGCTTGGGTCCTTCGGAGATTCCAGCAGATTCACCACTAGAACTGCATGCCAGAAACCCTACACCCTCAACCTTCAGGGTCCCAACCTTCGGCTGAAACCATCATCATGCCTGTCAACTCTCCTTAAAGCTTTAATCCAGCGAAAACGCGGCGAGGATGAGGATGGAGGCTGAGGATGAGGCTCGGATAAGGATGACTACGCCACCATAAGTACTAAAGACTACTCTCCAAATTCAAAACCCTACAATTCCCATGCTAAACTCGAAACTATTTTGAGCCCGGTCCCTGAACCCTAGACCCTTTCATTCTCGGCAACTCCTGCGTGCGCCGGCATGGGGGGGTCGCCGCGTTGAGAGACTCCAAACAGACTCCAAACATTAGCACTACCACGTTTCAGGGTTCCTAGAAGGGTTCCCTTACAGATTCTTTCCAGTGTTTCCTCTTCTGTTGTGTTGCCATTACTACCGACAGCATGTGCCTTGGACAGCCCATGCGATCTGCCAACCTCTGTGTCAGCGATCCCGTCAAAGCGACCAGGATGGACATTCCACCTGCTGGGCTTCGTGAGAGGGGCTTTCTCCTCTAGTGGGTATGGAGTCCCTTAACCTACCCAGGCTTACTTTATTGTAGTGTCCCTGTAAATCCGATACGGGGGTTGGTAAGAAGAGCCCACAAGAAAGTAGCGTTATGGTAATTTAAGGTACCTAAACATTACACCCTGTACCTAAACACCAGGATCCATGGCCAACAACATGGATCCCCTCTGCCCAGCCTGTGCTCAAGGCCTGCCAATGCCTGGGCTCTGCAAAAAAAACATGGAGAACGGTTTAGGGTTTTGGGGTTGATAGGGTTCTAGGGTTTAGGGTGTAAGGGTTTCGGGGACTTAGGGTACTGCTGAGCCCAGATGCTCAGGCATGCTGGGAAACTTGGCTACCCAAAGGATCAGGGCGACAAACTCCCCCATCCAGAATATCCAATTCAGGCAGATGAACTTGACGAACCTGAGTTGTTGTCAGCCTGTTGGTGACTTCTAATGAGGATTGACACTACATCGATAATAAAAGTCGCAGTGGCAGAAGTCGTTCTCCTTATTGGTGGAACCGAGAACGAAAGAAACCTTCACAGAAGTCTTTCAGCAACGGCCTAGAAACTGCAGGGTCTCGGGCGTCACCAGGTCCTTCGGCAGCATCCGCAGGAAAATGGCCGTAGTGCCCAAGCATGCCGGGATGCAAGAGAGAACCGGGGCCACTGGAATGGGATAGACCTGTAACCATGATATGCTTCAACATTTTCCAGCCACTTCCTAAGGCCTCGGGGTTTATGTGCCTGCTGCATGAACAAAAATTAAAGCATTCGGGCGTTTAAGTTGCTTGAGTTTTTGAAGCAGAGTTCTGTTCAACATGGCCAACAAAAGCCTACAGGTTTCCTTCTGCTGAGACACGCCCGCAAATGACAGGATCAAGTGAGCCAGCAAGCACAGAGGTGGGTCCTTACTTCCCGCTTACTCAAGAAAATGACCGGCTAAACCTTCAAACGGAATCTTACGCTTCCAGAAGACTACTAGATTATCCTAAACACCAAACCAACCTGAGGCTTTTCACGAAAATATTAGATGACACGAACCCCTCAAGAAAATTTGAAAGGTTGGGCATTGGAGAACAAAGAGTCGGCCAAAGGTACGAGGCGGACGAACCACCGGATCCTGGTCCTCTCCTGTGTTCAGGCTCTCAGCTCGGATGGCTGTTCGAAGAAGCCAGGAGCCATGTAGACAACTTGTCCATCCATCCATTCATGGCATGCATGCATAAACACATACAGACATACATCACAGCGACCCAGCCCTGGCGGTAGAATGCCACACAAGGTTTGCCCGAACCCCTGAGACTACAGGAGTTCGGATATGAGGGTTCTTCGTCTAGGGAGCTGCTAGACCATGCTAAACCCCAAACGGAAGGAGAACTTTGGGGGGGGGGCCTAGACCCAGTGAATCTAGCCCTGCCTGACACGAAGCCTTAAAAGCCTCACCTCGCAGGAAGGGGTGCTCCTATGCGATAGCAGTGCTAAGTTGGAACAATCCCCAGGACAGCTGTGCAGCACCACCATCCCCAGGGTAGTGGTGAACCACCGACAGCGCCGGCTCAACACTTTTTGTGCGCGTGCTTATGTACAGACATGACTATGTGTGTGGGGGCATATATATATATATATATGTACACACGTCGGTTGCATAAATAAAAACAGATAGATAGATAGATAGATAGATAGATAGATAGATAGACAGATAGATAGATAGATAGATAGATAGATAAATAGATAGATAGATATAAAAATACATATATATATATATACACATGCATATATGCATGTATGTATGTATGTATGTATGCATGCATGCATGCATGCATGCATGCATGTATGTATGTATGTATGTATGTATGTATGTATGTGCGTATGTGTGTGTAACATGTCTGGTTCTGGAGAGTCCCGTCCTGGATGGTGAACGCGCGAGCGATCATCTCAATCTGCCCTCTTGCAATGACATAGTTGAGAAGTGGATGAGCCAAGAAATTGAAGCTCCAGTTGCTCCAAAACCCCTCTTTCGGTGATGCCATTGGCAGCACAGTGCAGATGAGGAATGTAAAAAAAGGGACGAGCAGCAGGAAAGCAGAAATGATTGCCAGCGTTTCAGAAAGCCGACGAAACGTCGACTTGCCGTCGAGGCATCGGTCCTGTGGACGGATTAGGGCTGATGTGGCTTAGGGTCATGGGTTTAAAGCTTATAGGGGTGAGGACAGTTTATGGGTTACTCAGAAATAGGGGTTAAACGTTACAGGGACTTTAAAACAAATTCAACCATAGCTTGGACTCGCCAAAGCCCAAGTCAACTTATATTGACCTCCACATCCCTCAACCTCAAATCCGGCGTAAGAGTGGCCATGGTCCTGTAGGTACCGAGACAGCTGACTTTCGATATCAGACATCTGGCTCTTCAGCTGCTTTAGCGGCGTCACTGTGTTTGGCGCTATAGAAAAAAGCCGCACTTCGTTGATCGATTTCCCAAATTGCTGAGCTCCTCCAGAAAGAGGCGGAAGCGAAGAAACAGATCTGCTCCACTTCATCGAGAACCTTACGTGCCCAGTTTCTTACGGCGCATTGAATGCTTGCGGTTTTCCATAAGATAAAAATCGAAAGTTTCTCGTTCGTATACAGAGAAGCTGGCGTAGCCCAAAGCTTCTGTCTCGAGCCAGAGGTGCTTCTTTTGCAGCTTCAACATCACCTACGCCGACTCCGCCTGCACGGCAGAAGGGTTTTTTTCCTAACGCTGGCGGCCATCTCATTTGCTAAGGTTGGCTCTTCTTTTATTTGGTTGCAAACACTGTAAATTGGATCAGGATATTGGGGAATTGCAATTAGCTGGGTGGCGTTTTGCGCAAGCTATTGGGGGATTGCAATTTCGAGGCTGTAAATTGCAGAATTTGTTACTGCTTTGCATCAGGCTACTTGGGAATTACAATTCGAAGTTTCTGTTTTGTGTCAGACATTGTGTCAAGCTACTGGGGAATTACAATTTGCAAGGTGTGGCTTTGCGTCAAGCTATTGGGGAATTGCAATTAGCAGGGTTTCGTTTTGCCCCATGCTATTGGGGGAGTGCAATTTCGAGGCTCCTGTCTTGTGTCTTGAAAAATTACAACTTGCAGGCTCTTGCTTGGCGTCAAGCTATTGGGGAATGACAATTTGCAAGGTTTTGCGCTGTGTCAAGCTATTGGGGAGTTCCAAATTGCAGGGTATTGTTTTGCCCCAAGTTATTGGGGGATTGAAATCTCGAGGCTCCTGTCTTGTGTCAAGCGAGGTGGGAATTACAATTTGCGTTTTGTTTTGCACCAAGTTATTGGGGGATTGCAATTTTGAGGCTCCTGTCCTGTGTCAAGCTATTGAGGAATTACAAATTGTAGGGTTTTGCATCGCGTCAAACAATTGTGGCAAGGCTTTGCTTTGTCCCAGGGATTACAATTTCGAGGCTCCTGTCTTGCGTCAAGCTACTCGGGACTTCCAGTTTGCAGGGTCTTGCTTTGCATCAGGTTCTTGGAAGGATTGTCGATGGTGTCTTGATGCAGGCCTGGGGATGTCTTCTCATGTGTGAACCACCATGGTTCGTGCGAAAACTTAAAAACGAGAAAGGGCAGACATGGCTTTGCATTTCCAAGCACACACACACACACACGTGTACTTAACAGACGCTCCAGATAGATTGTGTTGTTTTTACTGTTGTTGTTGAGCATATATGGTAAACACGCCAAGTATTTTGTCGATTCCAGATCATCATCCATCTTAAGCATGCCTCTCGTTTATCATGTGGCCATTCCCATCATACTTCTTAAACAGGCCCTTTCATGTGGCGACTCCGGTTCACCACAATGTATGCCGGTTCAAAACACACCCCCTCTGCTATTGAGCGATTCAGGTTCATCATATATCCCTAATTATTATTTGCCGACCGAGGTTCATGATACATCTTGAACACGCTCGTCGTATGTCTTCAGCACGCCCCCTCATTTGGCGAGTAATATTCATCATACATCTCATTTGATAAACCCGCCCCCAACTTTGTACATGCCGCAGCCTGTGGCCCGCGAGCCGGGAGACCCGCGGCAAGGCCAAAAAAGAGACCGCAAGGGTTGGGGACCCGCAGGACCAGGGGACCAGAGGACCAGGAGAAGACCAGGAGCCTAGGCCAACCCTACCAAAGGCCACAGACAACAGCCAACGTAAGGAGAAAAAACCGTCAGGCCCCGCCTGCACCGCCTTAGCAAAATCAATTTTATGCTAAGGCCAAGGCTGCGGGCCTCAAGCCGTAAACCCTAAACTACACTAAGCCCTAAATTCCTAAACCCTAACTCAAGCAGGGTCTGAAGAAGAGGCCTGAACGTGCCCACCAAAACAACCTCAAACCACAAACCCCTAAAGACTTTAGGGTTTAGAGGTTTAGGGTGCGTATAGGGTTCAGGGTTTAAGGGTTTAGGGTTGCAAACCCCTGAGCCCGAAACACTCCAGCCCAAACCCCTGAAACTTAACCCAAACCCAAATCGGGCAATGTGCCTTGGCTTTTGGCCACTGGGGCATCATCGGGGCATGCTCCGGGCAATTGAACATCCTCTCGGGAGGCTAACTCATCTTCCGTTGCGGCTGCTGTGTAGAAGTTACCCGCTTGGCCGTGCAGGATATGGCAAGCAGTTGATACATTTTGGTCAATATCAAACCACAATTACAATCGGGATCCTTCTTATGAGGACCGCTGAGCAAGGTGCGCCGAATTTGAACGAACTCCTTTCAACCGAAGGACCGCCAAACGCACCTTCATCCCCTACGCCTTGAACCCTAAACCAACACCCAAGAATTTTACATTGAATCGAAGCTGTTCCGGCCTCGAGCTTCAAGCCGGGCGTGGTCTTTGTGGACTCACTCCGAAGATCATGTGCCACCATGGCATTTCTAGCCTCTATGCAGCAAGTGGTGGCAGGTAGCACTTCAACTATGAGAACGTAGATGATCAGGCTCTTGAACTACGATCACCGATGACTCGCTGCGGCATCTAGAAAACCTGGGCCCCAATTCACAAGGTGCTGAAAAGGACTATCAAGATTCTTCATACCAGGAATCAAGGACCCCGTAACAGTTACCTACACATCTTCTGCCTGCAGAAATGGCAGCACAAGCAGGCGGGTTGCAAAGACGGAACCTGCAACCAGCACCATTCTACAGCCTAAACCCTCTTCCTAAACCCCAAGCCTCTAAACTCTTTTCCTACTGCCCTAGCCCAATACCTGACCTAATTGAAGGATCAGCGGCCTTAGTGGGAGTAGGCAGGTTTGACAGTAGGGCAACAACATCTATGTCTATGTTCAACCCCAATTACGGACGCTGGCTCCCGATCCTTCGAAACCCACGACAACTTCAAACCCGAAATCGAAAACCTATAAACCTAGTTAGCCCGACACCCTACACTCCTAAATCTTTCACCCTAAACCTGTGCCTAAGCACCTTGATACTCGCAATACTGCTACCAAATGTGGAAGTTCTAAGAGTTGTATGCCAAGAAGAAGCCTGACCATCTAGATTCTTGGCCCGTAAACCCTGCACCGTTCAAGTTCTGTAAGCCCCGTAAACCTTGTAGCCCCCGACCCTAAACCGCCCTACAGACTGCCACTTGAGCCGTCAACCTCCAACCCCAAACCCTCTTAACCTGAACTATACGTCCTCAACCCCAAACCCCAAGCCATTAGAACCCTAAACCCTAAACTTTCCGAATCGTAAACTCCAAGCCCCTCAGCTTTTTGGAGCTGCCGTGCAAAGGTTGCTGTTTCTTTCCTGAGCGCTCCTTGACATCTCCAACGGCTTATCTTCTATATTCCAGCCAACAGAGGGCTTTAAGGTTTTAGACCTGGACGCTAAACCCCAAAACCCCAACACGTACACCCGAAACCCCCAAACTCCAAAACCAAAATCCCGGAACCCCAGAACCTCAGCCCTGCACTGCATGTCGGGTTTAGTACTCTGGGTTTACAGGGGCTTTGAGGCTTAGAAGAGAAGGCAGCAGAAGCCATACTCCTTGAAACATAGGAGCGTGCAGAGATTTTATTTTATTTTATAGGGTATAGTAAAGTAGAACTAGAAAGAGAGACTATATGGGGACATTACGAGCAAGTGACTCGGACCACCGGCCCTTTGTGGTCTCCTATGTGAGGGATCAAAATGTGGACGAATCAGCTTTCAAACCATGGTATGCTCTGCACGTGGCTGAGGGTTTAGTGCCTTTAGGCCCTAAAGGTTTTGAGTCAAAACTCTAAACCTAAACTTCCTAAACCCTGCGAGACAGATAAGCCCCGCAAAACCCTGAACTCTCGAACATGCTAAAGTTGAGACGCAAGATCTCGGATGTCTTCATGGAAGTCGCTCCAGAACTTGTTAAAGGGCTCGAGGACTCCCGAGACGTAGCAACTCGCTGCAAGAAGGAATTCCTTCAACCCAAAGCCCGCCTGCCTGAAAGAAAAAGGCTTTAACCGCCGACCAACCCTAAGCCTTCCTTGCAAGTTTTGATTCAGGAACCGTCACAGAACCCTCCCTCAAGCCCGAGGTCAAGGGCGCGTTAAATGCCAGTGATGAGCTCCAAAGAAACCTCCTGAACAACGCCGCCATAAATACTTTCAACCGCTGGTCTGCTCATGATGGAACAACAAATCGGAAAGAACTGGGCAAGGTATTTGATTTGCGTTTCGGGTTTCCTTAGAACACTACCAAAGTTACCAAAGGTGACCTCCTCCTCCTCCGAGCACAGCACAAAGAAGAGATTGTTTGGGCTTGCTTGAATTTCAAGATCTAGTGGTCGTGGGCAACCTGGATCGAAATTATAGGCATAGAGCAGTCGTACATGCGGAAACCTTCAAAGTGGCCTCTATGATCCTTCAGGTTGGGGCTTAAGGTGTCTTGAACTTCAAGGCTTCCGGGCCAAAGGGCTGACGTACGTAGAGGTCTGCAACACCTCAGGCAAACTTCGTCGAACTCCCGGTGCAAGCAGCCCAAGACATGTCTCTCCCGACCCTCGAGCCCTTCAAGCATGCCTTAACCTCAACCCCAAGCCCATGGCCCTGAGCCCAAAATCCCTAAACCCAAAGCTGTGAAAAGTCTGGGAAATACCGAAGTGATTCCGCCGCCCCACCCATACCGATTCAGCCAGGCAGCGCTGTTGTTTCTCGGCATCCACCGGCGTCAGCTTGACGCTGCAACCCGTGCAGTCTGCCCCTGTCCACCAGCCAGGCTCGGTAGCTCGGTGGGGGGTTTCTGGACTCGACCTTCTGCTCTACTACGAACATCTCAGCATTACAGGCCTGTTGCGTCCGACATTTTGATTGAGGAAGGCCTGCAAAAGGGTCTGTAGTAGTTGGACCAAGGTCTTGGTGTCGAACGGCCTTTGGGGCCTGATCTTCAGAAAGCGGAAATGCTTGACGTAAAGCCCCGGCCACCGAACGATTGACCAAAAAAGCACACTGAGGCATCCCACAACCTCATCCCTGCAACCACACGAAAAGTCCTGCAAATCTGGCAGATGAATCAACAGGAATCA